TTTGGGGGCAATCCTTCTTGTTATATATTATTCGACTGAATTCCCTTTCAACAATTAATCTTTATTAAATTTTGTATTCTTTCCACCCCTCGCCTCTCTGCGCTGCCTCTTAATATGCCTAACTCTGTGAGTATTGTCAATATTTCGAAAATCTCCCCTGACACCCAACTATTTTTTAATGAATTAAAATAAAACAGATTAGGGAATGAAGAACACTCTTTTTCCACAAGTTATTCTTTCTTGTTCACCATCAGATTCTACACTTATATTTGTTATACATTGAGGGTTTTGTTTTAAACGGGTCAGTAATAGTATTCATCATCTCTGAGTACTTGTGTGTGTGTGTGTGTGAAGGGGGGAGGGGGGCTCTTTAAAGGTACCGTATATACAATCATGCATATTTAACAAGTCATTATTTTGTTTTATCAAAGTAACATAATTTTTAGTGAAAAGAATTAGAAATTGATATTGTTATTATTATTATTATTATTATTATTATTAGCATCATCATCATTATTTAATATGGGGATGATTTTATTTTACATATCCGATGTCATCAAATTTCCCTCGTTCAATGTTCAATGTAATCTTGTTCAATAACACAATTAAATACAATTACTTTTACTTTGATGAATACTATTATCATTATGCTTATTACTATTATTGATAATATTAATTTACAAGGAATTATTTGTTATAATAAATGACAGGAGATATCTGTGTGAGTATAATTCAGTTTAATATCCGCTAGGCGATAAACTCTTCTAGCTAATATTGTGTTTATTGAGAAAAAATTATTATTATTATCAAACTATCAGGGATAGACAGATAGGTGGGTAGAGAAGAGAAAATGAAATTAAAAGTCTCATAATTTCATAACAGGAATAATAATAATTATTATTATAAATTGAACGATTTTGTTTTAAATAAGTTTAATAGTCCCATTTAACTCACGATTAGACTTAGATATGTATCATCAGGAGGAATCACTCCAGCTTTCTAGACTTAGTATACGACTATTGATGGTTGAGAACACACCATTATGTCGAGTGACGATATAATAATAACAATAATACCACTATGTTGTGGGTTCAACACTAATACTGATCACTGATTACTCCAGATCTCCAGAGCCCAAACAAATTAAGACAGAGGGTAAACTGGTCTGTGTCAATGTAAAAAAGATCGACTTTATCGTATAAAAATAAATTATGCACAAATGTTGGGTACCTCGGAAAGTTAAGCCAATAAATGACCAATCATTTTGGTTTCATTAGGTCAGGCTTCTAGACCTTTCAGTTGCATTGTAATGAATATTCCGCTTCTTCTCAGTGGTTGAATCTCTTCTGTCATATACGATAAAGCCTGGTAGAGGTTTTTTAAAATTTTTATTTCTAGTTGAAAGAAGGAGAAATTTACTTCTGAAGGTAATAGGAAATGCAGTAAGTTAGTGAATAGAATAATTAAAGTATTTTTAGAGATAATTATGGAGAGAGACAAAAGTAACACGCAGAGATATTGTGCTGTTCCGAGATACATTGACATCAGTCTTCAAATTGATGAATTCAGATGAATCTGACACAATCTGACCATTGGAATTGTTTCTTACAGGTAGAAGAATGTTTTTGAGTCATTTGGTAATAACACGATATGATAGGTTTTTCGCGTCCAAGACAGGACGTATTAATAAGTACTAACTTTACATCTCCGGGGGATGGAATTACAGAATCATAGGGTCGTAATTGTTCAGGAACATCAAAATGGATATGCCGAAGAAAGGCTAACACAAATCATGAAGAAGATGAATAATGAATTGATCAATACCTCAGAATTATTTGAGCAGCCATGAACCTCAGGTCCCGTAACTCCACCTTTTTTGTATAGCCTTCCGAAAATGCATAAACACTACATACCATTTCACTCAGTCTTAGACATGAATAACTTACCATGTCATCTTGAAAATGAATGCGTCGGTTGTTCAGTAGTGAAAAAATTGCCAACCCTACGCGTGACCATGGGTTTGATCCCCGACTGGCTCACTCCTAAACCTCACTCAGTTTAGTACTCGATAGTAGGCCGGCAGGTAAGGGGATGCTGGGCATGAGACTAGCAACCTTACTCCGTAAATACAACACTACTGTCACTGAAACTTCAAGACTTCATGCCTGAAGCCCCAAGTTCCATCCAGAAGGCAAAAGGGTTTGTAAAAATCTCGTAAACCAACAATTCTCTTCTTAATCTTGCGCTGAGCACTAGGTTTACTGTGAGGAGGAGTGCAAAACTAAGACAAAAGGGCTACTCTGTGTTACTTATTCGACATGATTTTCCTCCGAATCTCACTACGTATCTCTTGGGGTGTTGGCCTGAATTTATGAATAATTAATAAGGTTTGTTTACTTAGTGAAATTTTTGTGGTTTTTCAACTGACTGAAACATAGGATGCATAAAATATATGAATGAAAAAGAGGATGACTGAACAGCCTAAAACTTTCCATTCAAATAAGCTTTTCGTATCAATCTTATCTAAGTGAATACATTGTTCAGTACAATACCGAGCAATCCTGTAATTTGGCTGACGGTGACTAGCATCGGAATCCGGGATGAGTGTTTTATCTTATTCAGCACTCATCAGCCATAATTATGTTCACCCCAGTTAGTGATGGTAGTAAAGGTAGTACATCTAGCTGGTAAGTTCCAAGTAATATCATCTTCATCTCATTGGATAGCTGAAGCCCTCGTACTGTGAACCAATATGTCAATAAAGACCTAACATTTCAGTCCGAAGCTTCCAACCAATTATTGTCATTCCCTTATGTTCTGAGTAGAAAATAAGGCATCAGAGACACATCTCAATTCTCCGCTGACCTTTTATGTCATCCTCTCACCGGTATTTTCATTGAATTATTTTCCAGTAACACTGTACCTGCTTCTTGGAAAGACATTAACATTATTCTTGTGCCCAAATCATCAAGTGGACAAAGTGTTAAATTCAGACCTATTACCATTACTTCGCCTCTTTAAGAAATAATGTAAAGATTTCTTTTACTTGACCCTGAACTTCCATTGAAGTCTTTTAACGACGCTAATCAATTCGCCTATAAACACAGAAGGTGTACTTTAGATGCCACCGTTGTCTTATATCATAATATTATCTCTAGCTTAGATAGAGATGCCAAATATGTGCGATGTGCCTTCCTAGACTACACATCTACCTTTGACTTTGTACCTAGGCCTCACAAGCACAGTGTTGGATTACCAATTAGTGTTGCATTCCTATTTTTCTGACAGGAAGCACTGCACTGTTCATAATGGAAAGCCCTCCACGGCTTTACTTGCTCTAGTTGGCGTTCCATAGGGAGTTATCCTTTCTCCTTTTTTGTTTTCTCTCTTCTCGCATGACTTGACCCATTGTGACATAGTCAATTTTGTTAAGTATGCCTATGACCGGACCGTTTCTATTTCTGTCATATCTCGACCAGACTGTTCCAAAACAAATAACTTGTTATCGGAAATTAGTGAGTGGTTCTCGTCAAATGGTCTTGAACTTAATCCCTCTAAATGTCAAGTTGTTAATTTCATTTTCAGATGCAAGTGCAGCTTGTGTGAACTAGTTAGTTCACACAGTTCCACTATCATTTTGATGTGGTTGTGTTCTACGAGCTGGATGGTTAATTTGCGAAGCTTTCATCACCCTACTGGGTGAGATCTTCAGTGCATACTTCAATTCGAAGTCAGAGAACACAACAACATCAAAATCATCCACCTGAGCTACAAATCTTCTCTATCATATCTAAATTCCACTATTATAGATGGCACTGAAGTTAAAACCAAATAGAATGTTAAATGCATTGGAATGTGTATTTCCTCTGATCACCTTTCTTGGTTTTCCCGCATTATCTTAGTTTCTAGAAATATATTTCGTTTGAGGTTCTAAGTAAGGAAGTTAAAATAATCTCGTATCATTCCATCTCTACAGATGCCGTTTGTTAATTCTTGTATTCTGCCTATCCTTCTTTGCTGTTCCCCTTAATCTATCTTGGATTACTTAAGAAAAACTTCGTAATACTGCGAAGGCCACTAAAAGCCATCAGTGGGGCGAGTGGGGTGTTCTCAAACAAACTCGTTAGTACTACTGTAGATAGGGAAGAAATTAGCAAATATCTCGTTATTCACAACTCTCTACCTGCATCTCATAGGGTAGAACTAGAAGCAACTATAGAAAACTGTATGCTCGGATGACTCGGTAGGAAAAGTCTACAATACCTCATTTAGCATACATTTTATATGATGAAAAAAGTGTAAGGCTAGAAAACACCAACTTACAGAGGAAATCTAAGTAAACGGCATTTTCATTTTGTTCTCATTGTTACATTGTTTTTAATATTTTCACTTAAATTAGTTTTATATTCATTTCTTAATGAACAATACTAAATTATGTAAATTATTATTAATGCAAATGCCCTATTTTTAATTAATAACCTTGTAATGAGAAAATTAGAATCACTACTACACTCCATGCTCAAAATTCCAGATTTGTATCAAATGTACTATTTGAAATAAAGCTATTATTATGATTATCAAGGTCGCTAATAAGCTTTCATTTCCTCCGCACACGATTTCCTCTGTGTCACGCTCGGAGTCACGCCCAGCCGATGGTTTCCCATTTGGGATGCATTCGAACGGTGACTTGGCACGTGATATCATTTTTAACGGTCTCCGCAGCGTATGTTCTTCTGCATACTTATTCAGCAATACGTTGTTGATCGATTCGTTGCCATAGTTCCCTGTTGCTTCTGTTTACTCACTATCTGATTTTCAGATTTCCACACTGATTTCAGAGAATCCACCTTTGAAGAGTACAAACTAACTGAAAGGAAGATAACATCAAGGGTTAATTAAATCTCATGATCCATTCACCAATTAAACACTAACATTTAAAGACTGTTTTTATTCTGGAAATTATATCTATACCCATTTAAAACTCTAAACCTCTTTTACAGGAATCCCATCAACCACAACTATACGTGACTGCAAGCATCTTCAATAATTCTAAAGATACAAACTTATTATTACATTCATCGCCAGCAAGCCATCAACAGACAACTGAAGTAACCGATTCTCAAGATGTTAACTGTTCATATCCAGATGATTATATATCAATACAGGAATTCTCCACTAAAAATACCACAAATTTATATCCTAAGTACAATTTAACACTTTCAAGTGATTGGTCTGAGTTTTTAAAAATTTACCTTGAAAATTATGTCTCCAGTGCTTTCTTATTTGATATTACCTTAACACCAGGATTTAAATCACACGGTCAAATAAAATCTACAGTGCACCTAAGCAATTGTTATGAATCATATAAGATATGTGATTTTCAAGTTATTGGTCAATATCAATGCAAAGAAGACAGTGTTCATGATGTTAAGCAGTATGACTTTTTAAATAATAAAAATAATACTTCAATAAAACAAATAATACCTAACAAAGAAGATTGTGAAAAAATTTGTTGGGCAATAAAACAGCCACATACATATAGAAATGGTGGGTTATACATATGTGGGAAAAGGTAAGTTTATGAATGGTATTTTGTATGATGTCAACGAGGTGGGCAATTTCTTTCTTTGAAGTCTAGAAATCATCAAATTCTCTCATTCCTTTGCGTTCCCAGTGAAACATAGAGCTTTAAGCTTTTAAATTTCAGTAACGACAATTCTTTTACTGCTGGGGGGTCAGCAGGAAACTCACTAGCTTTCGGTCCAACCTTATGCCATTTAACGGGTTTATTCTCAGCCGGTAAACTAGGCGAAGTTCAGTACCGGGACCTTCCGTGCGACTGGTAAGCATTCTACCATTGGATCACGGAAACACTAAAATGTCGACCCTGATAGAAATCGAATCCATGGTCAGTTGACTCGATGTCAGATGCCTTACCCATTAGTCTGTAGACGTATTTAAGCAAGCACTATCGTCAGTGATTCTTCAGGGATACATACTTCAGCTACACCTGTGGAATGTGCCATTACTTCTAAATTATTATTGCTTACTTGTAATTTGCGTGGATAAATAGTCAAAGGAAAGATGGCGTTATATTCAACACCTGATGATTTGTTACAGGATTTCATCATGAGCTGATATTGGTTAGAGAACCATTGGAAAATCCGCAGTGAGTACTGGACAGCTGTTTTGTCAGTCTAGTTTGGGACTCTTCATCAGTACGCGCCCACTGGGATTCAAACCCAGGACCTTCTAGTTACAAGGCGAGCTCGTATCCCCTGAAGCCACTGCGACCCGATCCAATGGCCAGCCCATGAATTCTAACTTCTGCCGATTCATGACATGACGCGACCTCTAGCCAATGTCTTCGGCGAGTATTTATCCTCACCTTTGACCTGCTGCATCCTACTGGTCACGAATTCTCACTAGAACCCCAGGTAACTACCTACCTGAATAGGGCAAGTCGCTAGTGAGCATCTCATCGATATTTAAGTGTTGATTTGTAGGGATTTGGTTGGTTACAGGATATCATCAAGGGCCATTGGATCGGGTGCGAGTGGCTTAATGGTATACGGGCTCGCCTTGTAACCAGAAGGTCCTAATTTCGAACCCGGGTGGGTGCATACTGCTGAAGAGTCTCAAACTAGGCTGAGGAAACAGCTCCCCAGTACTTTCAGGTATTCCAATGGTTCTCTAACCAATGTCAGCTCATGATGAAATTCTCTAACCAACCAAATTCCTAAAAATAAACACTTAAATACCTGATGATTTATTGATTTGAAACTAAAGGTGTTAAATGAGTATGATATATTAAGTCTAAATCAATGGAAAATTTTGAAAAATATCTGTACAGTTTTTGTTATCGAGTGTTGGTTTACAGGGATTTGTTTGGTTACAGGATCGATCACCAGCTAAAATCAGCTGTCCAGTACTCCCAAGTTTTCTAATAGTTCGCTAACTAAGTGACAACAACAAGGGATCAATCCCGTAACCAGCATTTGTTAATTTGTCAAAATTCCTTAGGCGACATTAGTTTGAAGTAATAATTGTTTTGACTTACATCAGTTTAACACATATACTTGAGTGTAGACTTCACCATGAAACTAGAAAGATGTTTTGTCCTTGATTGATGCTTTCCTGTGGTGTGAGCTCATGACCAACCAGGAGTCAAACCTAAGACCTTGAGATTACGAGATCATCTAGTTGGCCATTCGGCTATTTGGGTTGGAATTAAATAATCCCTGGGTTCTAATTCCTGGTGTTCGTTGTATTTTCAGTGAATTTCTAAATGGTTTTGCTTCATGATAAAATCCATATCGACATGAGATTTTTTATTAAAAAGAAAGAAGATTAATCTGATGCTCGCTAGTGACTGGCTGCAGGATGAAGCTGTCTGTGATTCTAATCAGAAGTCATGACCGGTGAGGTCCACGCGGTCGGGTGTGAGGACAAATATCCGCCAGCAATGACACTGGCTGGTTGGTAGTCTTGCTAAAATCACGAAATGGTTAGGAGTTAGAATTCATTGGCTGGCAATTCAATTGGGTTTCAACGGCTGAATAACCTACGAGCTTTCCTCGTAACCAGAAAACTGTGGGCTCGAACCCTGGTGGTGGTCACGTAGTGCTGATGAGTCCTAAACTAGGCTGACGAAACAGTTTTCCAATACTCCCTGGTTTTTAGCGGTTCTCTAACTGATATCAGTCCGTGGTGAAACTTGAGAAAAGAAAGGCATTTAGACTTCATGAGATGAACTCATGGCTGTCGGAACACAGTCATCTCATAGGTAAGAGTTTTGAGCGTTTTAAATTAGTGACACTTGAGGGGATGAAATCCTATTGAGATACAAGCTTTGATGTTTAGTTAACAATTTTCAAAAAAATTAAAACGCTGAAACACATATTTTTATATTCATCAGTGAAATTAGGAGAATACCTATGTCATCTGTAGGAAGTCAGATTTTTCATATTTGTAAAATAAAAAATCAATATTTGTTTGATATGACTATTGAGACTATTTGAGATGACAAACTTAGGCTAGTCTAACGAGTAATAATTGAAAGTTGAATGAAGACCTTATTAGCAATACGCCCCCAAACTAGCAGCTTTCTGATCTCCAGTTCCCCGTATTTCGTCACCCAAAATCGAATCAAATGTCATCATCGCACTACCAAATGTATTCAAGAACACAGACTGATGGACAGTTGTCACTTCTTCCTTTCACTATTAAAATGAACATAAGGAGTGTTTACCAGATAGACCTGATAGATGAGTCGGTAGTGAATCCAGCTAGTAATCTGTCAACTGAAGGTTTCGAATAGGCATGTTATGTTTTGCCATTTGGCCTTGGATTGTTATTGATGGTTTATTCCTGGATTAGTGATCACAAGTTAAACGAACAGAGTAACACTGGAATAATGCTGAGCAAAAAAAATACAGTTCACCGCAGTATTGAATATCATCTTAAGGGTTGTTTCACTCATTACTGAGTTCACATTAGTACATCTCAGATAGTTCCGTGGTCAATTCTCTGGTCACCACACTGAGTGACATGGGTATGAGTCTCCTAAGGGAAGACATCAATACCCACGAGATCGTAGACGCATCTTACTGCTGAACACTAATAAGCATGCAAACTAGGTTCGACTGGGCTTCCCGACTACTCCCCCCCCCTCCAAATCACCTGCCATCAGTTACATTTAAGTATTCCAGTTGTGGTGTGGAATCCTATCATTTTAGACAGTAAAGCACAGTTATACAGATAAGCCAAGAATGTTACACAGTCACTTTTTAAGGTCAATCAAACCAATGGAATAAAGCTTAAATAACTTACCTCAGGTAAACTGTATCTATTACTCTTTTAAAGTAGGTTCGAATATTCTAACCTTTAGTTAGATTTTAGAATGTGTTTCTTTGCGGGAACCTGATTGATTTGTAGTTTGATTACAAACTGATTTCCGTTGCGGAATCACCGAAAACCCTAGAGAAATGGACAACTCTTTAGTCCTAGTTACAGATTCTTCAGCGGTGGGATATAACCCATAACCTTCATGTTACATGGCGAGCTCGTTGAACATTCAGCCACACGGATGGAGTACAATCACCCATGAATTCTAACTTGTATCGATTCACGATTTTAGCACAACCACCAGCCAGTGGATGTCATCAGCAAGTATTTGTCCTCACATTCAACTTGATGGACTCCACTGGTCACAGCTTCGCACTGGAACTTCAGCAGACTTCATCCAGTAGTCAGCCAGTCAGTCACTAGTAAGCATTAGAGTGATTCTCAAGTGTTGGTTTAGCAGGTAAATGAGTCCGAGAACCAGGGAGCACCGTACAGCTGTTTCGTCCTAGTTTGGCAGTCTTCATCAGTACATGCCTATGACCTCACCAGATATCGAACCCAGGACTAAACCTAGCCTGGTTTGACTTCATCTGCCAATCAAGTTCATAAATTATCCATAAAATCGATAACAATTACAAAAAGGATTTGAATGAGTAATTAAAAATTGCTTGATGAATTAAGTTTGATGTAAACAAGACCGATTACTATAGACTGAAACATATTGCTTAAGCTGTAAGATTAAAACCAACAGTATCCCATTTATCAACTATACTTTCTTCCAAAAGAATGGATATCCACGGAATTTCATCAAAATACGTATACACCCCAGAGCCAACCTATCAAACCAAAATCCCCCTAGGAAAGTACAAGGAAAATCGCCTTACAATATATAAAGGACAATTCAGAAATCACTGTAAGACACTTCAAACCTTTAGGAATTGACGTCGTACAGAAACCAACAAAGTCACTTCACTCCATTCTATGTCAACCAAAAGACTCAACAAAGAAAGGAGATAAAACCAATATCATCTACAAAATAAATTGTAACAACTGCGAAAAACACTACACTGGCCCTTCATTTTCGTATCCATGAACACAACAAAGACATGATATCCACTCCCTCATATCAATACATTCAGACAACCATGGATTCCAATTCAACTGGGACAACGTTCAAATACTAGACAGAAGAAACACCATTATGGGTAAATTTCTGTTTTGATAAAGTCTCACAGTGTTATACAGTAATGTTTACTGGTGACGTTTCGAGCACAATTTATTACTCATAATCACATCAAGGTGACATAACACCAAGAATCCTAGAAAATTTTTAGAAGCCTGCTATTCCAGTGAATCGCCAATCAATGGATACATCAAGACAGACAAAATTTACCAACCGATAAGAAGAAAATTTCACACACAAAGGGTCAAAGTTCAAGTCAAAGAAACAATCAGTTCCAATACAAGTAACCTAGAAGGTGTGAAAACACACGAAAACAGCCAATCACGTTCAAGGTCACCAGGAGAGATTGATAAACTCGTGGGGAAATCTAAAAGCTCACTTCAAATTGAAGTAGGGTGATGAAAGCTTCTCAAATCAACCATCCAGCTCAGAGAACACAACCACATCAAAATCATCCACCTGAGCTACAAATCTTCTGTATTACATCCAACTATACTTTAAACAGACTGGATTATGATGTAATCATATTTTTACAAAATTTT